CCACCCCCGGCCCCGGTCTGACAGAGCAGCAGAGTTGCGCCCCCTCCCCGCGCCGCTCCCGCCCGCGGACACGCACCCCCGGCTCTCCCAGGTAACGGCAAGACCCGGGAACGGGGGAGCCCCCATGGCGCTGCTGCCCGCGGCGGGCGGCGGCTCGGACCCCGCCAGGCTGAGAGAGGCGGCGGGGACCGGGGAAAACCAGCGGTAGAGGCTGGCGAAGGGCGGAAGGGGGGGGGGGGCTCTCGCGGAGCGTGCCGGGAAATGTAGTCCGTGCCCCCCGCCAGGCCCTGGGGGCCGGCAGGAGAAGCGGCGGGAGGGAACTACAGCCCCCAGCGCTCTCGACGGAAGCGGGGAGATAGGTGCTGCAGAGGGGACCCCCTGTGGGGACGGGAGGCTGACTCTGAATGAAGGCAGTGAGTCGGCTCTTCCCTCCGGARCAGCGAGGGAGAGAAGCCCCTGTGCCGCTGCCGGGGCGGGAGGGGCTGGAGGGAGGGGTGGTRCGGCAGGGCCGGCTGGCGGGATGGGCGCAGGGGCGGCGCGGGAGGGAGGTGGAGGGGTGTGCGCTGCGTGTGCGGCTGCAGAGGGGAGGTGCGGAGCAGGGCAGTGAACGGGATGTGMGTGGGGGAGAAACACGGGTGGGTGCCTGCGGTGAGGGAAGGATGGGTTGGGRGGCATGTGGATGTCAGTGGGAGAGAGAAAGAATACAAGGAAAAGGGCACATAGGGGGGACATACGTGGATGGATGTTATGAGAGAGATGTGCTGGAGGAGGAGTGATGGAGCAGATGGACGGAGAGGGCTGTGCAGAAGGCAGAGCAGACCGGAGGCTGGGAATGGGTATGGAGGAGGCAGAGGTCAGAGGGGGCCGGGAAAGTTTACCCAATGAGTTTGCGTTTATAGTTTCCAGTTATACGTCTCTTATCACGCTTAGGCTCCTTTGAGCTTGTTGCACTAGGTGGTCTAGGCACAATATTACCTTTTAAAAATTATTTYGCTGCATTTCTGCTTTTTCCCCTAAATTTCTGTCATTATGTCAGTACTCACATTTGTCCCTTTTCCCTCTGCATTTCCTCTGCTGACAGTTCTAGTCTAATTCTTTATCTAACAGCCATGAGGGGGAATAAAATTGCATAAATAAAATTCTCTAAGCATCAATGCATTAGTACTCCCTTGCATATGAATATTGAATGTCTATTCCTACTACAGTTTCACATTTCACAGAGATGTGAATGAATGCTGGATTTTAATTACAATTGCAGATTGCTGAGCAGTTTCTTTTTTCTTTCTTTTCCCCCCACCCCTATGCCAGCTATATCCTAGGCAGGCTTGGGCTTCTTGCAGCTCCTGGTACTTGGTGGACTGCAGAAGTGAATATTGCAGCATGCCTCCGGAGTGCCTGGCTCTTGGAGATTTGTGCCTTTGAGCAGGTAATGGGGAGGAATGGATCCTGCCCTGAGCTAATCCTAATCAAAAGATAAAAAAGTAAATAGAAGACAAGAAAACAGTAATAGGCCTTTATCTGGTTTTCTCTGTAATTAATATAAAAAATGAAGCAGATTCTTTTGGGGATGAGCTGAGAAATCTGAACATTTGATGTCTGTGCACTAACAGCAATATGCATATAGATGTATATTTTTTTAAAAAAGCATAACTATTCTACTTAAGTAATACATATTCTTAGTTCCAAAGAGCCAGTTCTTTGAAATTCAGAGTGGGGTTTGAAAGGTGGAAAAGTATTCACCCCAAGATTCTGACCTTATGGGTTAGGGCTATAAAYGTGTGTGAGTCTCTTAATCCTGCAATTATTCATGGAAAGCTTATCTGGGTTGCAGACTGGCTGAGCTGGGAATGCAGCAGCAGCAGCAGCAGCACTGAGTCTTTGTGGAGCTGACTGTGGTCTGGCAGGGCTCACGGGCTGCAGTGTGGGGGGAGCACGGGTGTGCTGTGTCCAGGGCCAGGTGCAGGAGCAGTTTCACTGCCTTTCTTGACACAGAGTCCGACCTATGAAACACTCTGAACCAAAGCTGGCACTGCACTGACCCATCTTGGGAGTCTTTGGTGGCATGTTTGCTCTTCTGTATAACTGGAAACTATAAACACAAACTSATTGGGTTTACACATGGTATGCAGAGAAGCAAGTGGCTCCACAAAGGACCAGAGGCGTTATTGGCTTGGGGCAGGTTCCACTTTGTTGAGCTCCAAACAGGCCCTACAGAATCCTTAATGTATGTGGGCCCTGCATGCTGTCAGGGGGCTGCTCCCATCTAAACACAGGCTTGGGTTTAAYGTGATACTAATGCTAGCAGCCCTGGAGGCTGTACTGGAGAGAGATACGTGGAGCCAGCCTGGGTCYAGCAGGCCTGAGATGGAACAGGCAAGCCTCTCACTGCCTGACCTGTGTGTGTATGAAGTTGTGCTCCCCAGAGTGCCCCACAGCATTTGTTTTAGCTCTTTTTGTCACCCAGCCTTGCTAACAAACACCTCATTGCCCCAAATAATAGTGATGTGACCATATAGGTGTGTCTGAAGCTGGTGTATGAGGTGCCTGGAGAAGGATATGGTTCACAGTCAGTTTTAGGAAYAGCACAGCCGTCTCTGATTCTCCTCTTTCTACTTCTTCAGAGAGAGCWGTACTTCAAAGGCTCTGCAAATGGCCATTTTATTCTCCAGTATGCTTTCTGTTTTGTTCACCAAACTAATGGAATCTCTAATTAAAATCTCTAAATYAATCTTAAATTGAAACACTGACCACCTATTTAGTGTTTTTTATATATTTGCTTTTAACTTATGGTGCATGTCTTTACTTCATTTGAAGATTTTTTTTTCACTTGCRTTCAAAATAACTCTCTGTTTCAAGTTAAGTCTCAAAAGAATGCACACAAAAATAGTTTGAGGCCTGCATGCATGCTTCTTCTCCTTCCCACTTCTATACACATTTCCCCATGACCTCCACGTTTGCTACTGCCCAAAACCAGTTAGCAGAAAGCACTTGACTGAATTGAGAGATCCCTTGGTGCTGGGTTTCCTGGACCACAGTATGTGTGTGTGTGTGTGTGTGTTTTATCTGGCGTGTGTGCTGCTTTGAAGAATGACATTACCTGCTGCAACCCCAACACTGCTGCTGCCATTGTAGCCAGTCTTGTCACTGCTAATGCACACAGCAGAAGGAAAAAACAGCACTGGCATAGCACATTTCTCATCTTTGATTCATTTACATAGAGTTTAAATTCAGATCTGCTGGAACTGAGTCATGTCCTTACTTACAGATATGTTTCTAATAGGAGTTGTGACCGWGTGAGCTCATGATTGTTAGTTTCCACAACAGTCCATGGGACCACAGCTGCATGTTTAAGCAAAGCCATGTTAACAGGGAAAGATGATTTTGGCTATAGAACTTGGCCAGCCTTTTGTTTGTTTGTATTTTATCTGACAACGATCAGTTAAAATGCTGTTTTTGTCAGGCATATGTAATGCCTGGTAACTGTCTGCAGCATCAATGATTGCTTCTGAACAGGGATAGTTAATTATTAGAAATGAAGATCAGTTGTTCTGCACCCAAGACCAAAAYAAAAGAGATAATCTTTATAATAAAGCAGGAAAGACTTACTTAATTTTTATAATTATTGCATTTTTAATAACTTATTCTTAAAAATCAAGTAAAATGAATAAAGCACATGAAAAAAATATAGCCTGTATTTCAGTGAGAAATACACTTCTGTAGGCTTCTAGTAGGAATCACGTCATGTGGGGAAAAACTTTTTGTTCCTCTGACAATTTTGCAGTCAGTGTTGCTGTTTATGCATTTTCAGGTAAAGCATTGTCATATTGTTACATGTCTCTATTTTAACAACTTTCAAGTTTGAAATGAGACTGAAAATCAGATCATTGTGCTATTTTAARTGAAGACATAATTGAGGGAGAGAAAACTGTTTGAAACTGGTCAAAGCTGGCTTACAAAACCAATATAGCCTTAACCTAAGAAGAGCAGGTTTCGTTGTAACTCATACATTGCGTTTCGAGATGCCCAACATCATGCATGGCTTATTTACAGAAAATGAGAAACAGAATTAGTAACCAATCTTCATCAGCGGATGTCTAGGCCTTGCCAAACGTTCAGCTGTCCAGTCAGCATTACTGCAGGGCTGCTGTGATGTGAGAGCGTATGTGATGTGAGAGCAATCTCAGGGAGCTGTGGAATGTTTTTGTTTTGCCTGCGTAAAATTTTGATSACAGAAAGACACGTCTGTCCAGAAAACGCCAGGTATGGTATAGCCCTCTCAGTGAGGAATTAACAGTTGTTTTGGAGAAAAGTCTGATTAGTGTATTAAAATAAGGCTTGATATGACTATTGAAACAATGAGAGTAAAGTGAAAGTGAGTAACAGCTCATTAGAGTCATCTGTCCTATGCAAGGGTCAAAGGCTTGTGGAGATAATGGCATTCAGTTGTGTCGCTGGTTGTGTCAAAACACATGCACAAAAGAGACACTAAAGATAGCTTCCATTTTGGCACTTGCAGAGTGAATGTTTAGGATCAAGCAAGAGGAAAAGCCCTGCTGCAGACCCCCTCTGTAGAGAAGGGCATTTGCTGCCTCTGGTAACACTGTGGTGAGATAATGCTGAGGGAGATGGGTTGAAGAGGACCAGTCCTGTATCCATTCCCACTGATGTTGCACACAAGTTTGGAAGCAGTCCCCCTTTGCCTGTCATTCACACGGTCACTGTATCTGCCCACGGACACGTTTCTGTGTGTATAAAGCTTTAATGTTAAAATAGGGACTGCCTTTTGGATCTTGCTCAATGGTGTGTTGCTTTAGTTCTGGGAGAAAATTTTTTTTCTGACCCTAGACAGGGATCAGCTCAGCTTATGCTCCAAAGAATAGAGATTAATATCCCCTGTGACCTTTTAGCCTAGCTGCTGCATGGTTTTTAACAAATTGGCTTAAGAYCCCATGTGTGGCAGTTATGCCGACATGAATGTCTGTAATGTCTCTTCTTGTCATTTATCCGTGAACTAAGAATTTCCAAGGATATCTTGACGTGCAGTGGAGCTGTTACTGTATAGTGCAGGACGGAACCACACAATGATAGAATGAAAAGCTGGTGTCAAAAGTAATATGTAAAGTGTTCTGAATGTACTTGATAAAAGTTGTCCCTGGCTGYATATTTACTTAAAAGATGTGACTGTGGTATGGTAGGAAAATTAAGTATCTAAACAAAGCCCCAAGTAGCAAACAACAAAATCCTCTATTTGTGATTTCTGTATTTCTGGTTCCTTGCATRTTTCTGATGTTGTATGAACTCTATAATGAAATGTAGAACATGTACTAAAGACTGAGTACATAACATGACAAAGCTCTCACCTAGTTCTAGTTACTTTTCCCCCCTCCCTGTCCCTGGCACTGAAGAGTGGAATGTCCAGATAACACAGGAGGTAATTCCTTCCTAAAAAWGTTTTTTTCCTTGCTTTTGGACTGATTTGTTTTGTTTGCTTTGGTTATTCTGAAGTAACATTGCCATCACTGGTGTGTGTAAGAAGCTTGTAATTTGTTTAAACCATTTTTAGCATTAGTTTTAAACAGCAGTAGAATCTCAGAGAACTGCTTGGGATTCCAAGAAAGCACTGTTTTACAACTGAGGCCTACAGCTGCTGTTTCAAATATGGCTCRGGTGCATGGGTAATGTTATACTCACCTTTTCAAGCTATATGAYCTGCTTTGGTGTCTAGGGTAGGTGATAACTAAAAACCGAAGTGCCTGAATCCACTAGAAGGATCCAGGGGCTTTTGTCAGCTGAGCTCTGGAGGCATTGATCGCTCAGTAGGTACAGAGATGTACAGCCACCAGCCCCTCTCCATGCTCCAAGTTTCAGTGCCTGTTAATGCTTTATAAGCTCTCCAGTGTGAAGCATCAGGCATCAAGCTCATGCTTAAGATTTTGAATCACCAGCATGAGGCTAGAAGCCCCCAAACCCTTGGTAGCTGGAGGAAATGGGAGAGTCTTGTTTGGTTTGCTACTGCAGTTTTTAAACCATGTAAATGTTTCTGTGTCTGGCTTCTCATCTTCCTTGTCTAGCCACTGTTCTGAAGTGGACACGTTTGCATCGCTCCTATGACTTGCCTCCTGCCTTTGGATTGATCCAGCTTCCATCACCGAGAGAGATGAGGAGGTTGTCTCCTCTGGTGAGCAGGGAACTATTCTGGAATTGAGGGCAGTTGGATGTGAGTGCCCTCTTAAGGCAAAAGAAAGTCAAATACACCCAGAGGGTGGGAACTAGCTACAATAARGAGGCATGAGAGATTGTAAAGCAAGCATGTGTTCTGTTTAAYGGATTTTTAGGAACTGAATTCAGCAGTTCCTTAGAAATGCCTTATTTACTCTTTCTCTTTCACTACATGTGGGGAAAACCTCCAGAGATTTGAGGAATATTTTCCTTAATGGTGACAGGCTGGTTGTGAAGCRGATCCTAATCTGGATGGGTTTGAAGATGGGTCAATGAATTGTGYCCCAAATGGTGTTCTGTTAATTTATAAGTTGACTCATGAGATCTGAATGGGTTATAACCTATCTTCAGTTCCTATCATTTTATCCATTTTTAGTGTAATGTGAGTGACATCACTTTTTTCCTATTAGTTTTGATCTTCTGTATTTAAAAATTAAACAGTCTTAGYTGCCACAGATCTAGATCTTGGTAACAATGTATCCTGCCTGTGTTAGGAAACAACATTAGAGTTGACACCCTTTCCACCTTAGATTTTCTCCTGCCCAGAATTTTACAACGAATAGTAGGAATGATGTGCAAGCTGAAATGTGCAACACAGCATGAGGACAGGTAAAGCCCAGTGTGTCCTGCTGCGCTTGGTGAAGTGTCAGCTGTGGGGTAGCAGCATGTTCTTGCCATAGAAGTATTGAGTCACACGGAAACTGTGACCTGTGGGTTCAAGTGAGGGTGGCAGGTTTCCATGGCTTTGTTGCAGGGAGTGATGAGGTGGTGAAGCAGACACTGGAGTGCAGCTTCATGCAGCAGTAAGGACCATCAGTTTGGCACGGCTGGGAGGTGGAGCAGGTGTTTGCTCAGGGCAGAATGAATGTCATGTGGACAACTGTTTAAATTGTCAGGGGTTTGAATTTTGCACAGCACAATGGAATACAAAGACACATCCTCCATAATACCATCTTGCTCTAGTCTTGTCTATTTATAAAACCTGTATATATGAAACCTGTTAACATTTTTGCAGCCCACTAGGATGGCTTCTGTCTGCTACCACCAGTTCCTTCTGTGTGTGCCCCTGTACCACGGGCTGTTTTCAGCTGTGCAGGCTGAACTGTTAGTTTGTATCCCTCCTTCCCTGTTTTTTGTCCACCTCCTTGGTTTTGCCAAACCCTTGATTCAGCTAGTGTATGATCCCCTGGAGCTGGCCTCCTCCCTCTTGGTCAATGCAGGTCTGCATTGCATAACTATGAATTGCAATTTTTTATTTTTTATTTCCAGGGGTTTATATCTGAGTGAATGTCAGGGACTCCACATACACTGAGTCAGAGAACAAGGGAAGGGAGCTGATTCTCCTTTTGTGTGGTAAGGACCTAAACTTTGGGTCACATGATATTCCTATAAGAGGGCAGGCACCGCTTCAGTCTTGAACCTTAAATACAAACCTAGCTATACAACTAAAGTTAGTCACAGCTTAATTTTGAATGTCTGGGTTGTTGCTTTCCTGAAGGGTTACTGGGAAAAGTTGGGCTGTGGGTTTGCCTTTAAGTCGTGCTGCAGTTTGAGAGCTAGGGCAGGGTTATACTTTGGGAGTCACTGTTCTAAGGAATGTTGAAGTGGATTGGTAACCCTGCCATAAATCCCAAAGGGACATGTTAAATTTAATGAAAAAATTCAAGTCAGCATGCGGATGTTGGAGTACTTTGAAAGAATATTTAAACAGAATGAGTCTCTCAACTTCATCTATAGTAGAGCAGTCATTCAACCATATCATAATCTCATTAGGGTGAGGGCTCTTGAAAGTGTGAAGTGCTGACATCCCTGGTGCTGGTTGGCACATTTGGGCACATATGTAATACAAAAGTATAAAGAGCAATTTAATGCCTCTTGTGGTTTGTGATTCACGGGTTGATGGCTGCTAATATATTGTGGTGATCTACAAATGRAAGTTTAGTTTGTTAGGTTCACTGTAGGCAGAGCATTTAATTTTCTTGCATTAATTTAACAGGACTGGGGCCAAAGGCAGCAAAGAAGTTGTATTTTTTATTACTATAAAAGAGTTATAGTTCATGATCTGAAACCTTAGGCTAGTAAAGAGATACTCTAGATGTACTCCTGTAGAAGAGCAGGACTGGATGGGAATGGGGTTGGGAAGTCACAATTCAGCTATGAGAGAAATAACAAAACTGTCTGAAGTGTCACTGTCTGAACTATTCTACAGCATGTGAAATTCATTTTTCTGGTGATTATGTTCTCTTTTAGATTTCTGAGTGAAGATGAATTTAGCAGAGATTTGTGATAATGCCAAAAAAGGAAGAGAATATGCACTCCTTGGGAATTACGACTCTTCTATGGTATATTACCAGGGTGTCATCCAGCAAATCCAGAGACATTGCCTGTCAATCAGAGATCCAGCAATTAAGGGCAAATGGCAGCAGGTAGCGTGAGATAACATTGATATTTGAAAACCACACTAGAGTTTCCAAACCTTGTAAGATGTGAAGGACTTAGATTTCAGTGATTTTTTGCAATATTTTTTTAACAGTATTTTGTTGATAWTCATTGGAAAATATTTTTTGAAGTGTGTTCAGAAGAATTCTGTTGTTMTAACTGAATCAATTCTTTTGTTGTTTTCACTTAGGATGTCTAATTCCTGGTCTGTTTGTGTGTGCATGCTGTCTGTGATTGCATATTTTTGAAAAACTGAGGACTTTCTTTTCACCTTTTCTCTTTTGGCCATCTAATGTCCAGTAAACTAAAATGGGAGTGGGTGGATTAGCATCACTAGAATAGTTGTCTGAGTAGCATCTGACTTTTAAGACTATAGTGTACAAATTTGTTTCAGGTTTCTAAAACTGCAGGTAATACCCTTATCCTGAGTCTTGCACATATTCATCTCCCTGCTAAACCGAGTGTTGAAGCSCTGGAAGTAATCTGCAAGTGAAATGTAAAAACCCCAAGCACCGCATTTAGCACTTTCGGTATTTAGGTCTTCCTTACATATTTTGATCCCATTTTTCACGGTACAAAATGTGTTCATAAATCTAAAAAAGGAGAAAAAACATATAAAAATGCATTCTAGAATAAAGAATTTGTATTACATAAATAATATGTTTTGAAAGAGTAATTATCTCCTATAAAAGATAGAATTTTGCAGTAGTACTTAAAGAGATGATTTAAATAAGTTTTTCTAAATATCATATGCTTAAGTGGTATCACTTAAAAACAGAAGCAAATTTTCCTTTTTATAGCAGCAGATGATTTGTTTATGGGTTTGTGTCTGAAACATCTGAGACTAACAGAGTATTTTGTGTACTAATGRGTACAACAGTGTTAACAATCACTTTGTAGTAACGGGACTATTCATAGGTGTTTATCATAGAACTGTAGAAATCTGTTTATGAAGAGCTTGTCTGTGAAGCATGTGTGTGTACATGTAGCAGAGATAGTACCTAGCTTTCCTGAAAGAAAATGGTGATGTTAATATGAGATAGCTGGATAGTTTAATAGGAGATAGTCACTTTCAAGTACTTGTATCCAGCTTTTTCCCACCTCAGGATGTGCTGATACAAGATACTGATATCCAGTGCTTGTCTTTAGCTCCTTACCAAAGTGCCAAACTTATAGCTCATGTGRAAGTAAAGCATGAGGATTTCCTCATTCTGCAGCTGAACCACTGTATTGTCTTCACATCTGGTATTTAGTGTTTCCTCTGATGACATTGATTCTTCCAATAAACTTTTAACAGTTCTTGTGTTGTGAAGGTCACTTAAGTCTCGTGCTGTTTGTGTTATTTGAACTGTTTCAGAGAAGCCTGTGCACCATGGAATGTGTGCTGCACACTGGAGACAAACCTCAAGTACAAAGGCACCATTAACACAGTTTCCAGAGCTATTCCCTGGGAAAGGCAGCTGGCTTTCTAGCAGAGGATCTGAAGTTGGCACCTTCTCAGAAATTAGTCCCTTTAGGCAAGAGAAGAATGGCCCCTGACCATGTCACATAAATGCTTTAAAGAACTGTACCAAATAAGATCTGCAGCTGGTAGGGTAGCATCTGTCACACTACGCTCTCATATTAATTTTGAAACTTCCCAACACAGTAGTGGCAGATGAGCATTGTCAGAGCATTGCTTTGCCATTACTGGTGCCAGTGTTGGCTCAGGCACAAACACCAAAAAGTAAGAAGTGTGACTGAAAAAAAACCTGCAGGGCTTCATCCCTAGATTGTTTTCTTTCTCTTTCGTTTATGGGAACAAAATAATAGAGCACAAAAGCAAACAATGCAGCCCTGGAACTACTAACTTTTCCACACCAGAACCTGAATGTTTTGGTGAGACCTATAGAGATAGACCTGCTTTCTTACCCACTCTTTATAAATAATTGTTGTGCTTTCTCATTCCTTAAGACAGACTAAGGAGTTTGATGATGTGGATGTTAGCACTACTTTCCAGCTCCAACAGCAGCTACATCCAAACTGTCAGTCACATTCAGGTAGCTGTCTTGACAGACAGCCTGTTAAAAAAAATTCAACCCAGAAGCTGGATCACAATAACATTCACTCTAACATTCACTCACAATATTAAATTAATATCTAGATATTATTTTTAGATCTTTCTCATTAAAGAGTTATGCCATACACATTATATAAGTGTAGCAAAATTCAGGTCCAACCCACTTGATACCAGTAATGGGCAGAAGCAAAAGATTCCCATACCAGTATGGTTCTTGCAAGTGGCTTGAGAGGCAAAGCAACCCTTAAGTCGTGGTTAAGGGGGTTAATATAATTGATTTTTACCTGAAATTCTGGGTCCTCTAGCATATGGAACTAGCCTCTTCTTCAGGTTCTTCATCTTCTCCATCATCTGAGGAATCTGGAGAGGTTAACACCACTGGTACMTTTTGGAGGTGGAATTTAGCAGTCACTAACACTGTGTGCGTAGAACTTTTACTCTTGAATATCCATGTAGGTAAGTGCTCAAARAAGATTGTTACTTAAATCAGTTCTTCTCTGGGATGTACTGTCTGCATACACATTCACAATCTTGAACCTTCTGAAAGATTCCTGGGATGCTGAGTGATGGCATGGAACATCCCCTTCCTTTCTGTACGTTTATGTGCAGCTCGCTAACAGGGTGTTTATCCTRCTTGTACTTCTGAGGAAGTGAACTAAGTTTTGCGTGTTTGTGGACATGTTCCCTTGTAAAACAAAAATGTTCATTTGAGGAACAACTCAAAGAATAGTTCCAGCTGTGGCTGTGCAGCTGGCTAGCTCACATCTCTTACATGCACCTTTGTTCTTGCTATTTGGTCTCTTCTCAACAGTGGTGCTCCATCCTGAATAGGTACCTCATGCCTGGTAGATCTGTTTTGTTGCCTTGTCTACAACAGAGGATTTTTCCAGAAGTAGGGGTGAACCAGAAATAGTTGGGATTTTGGGTCAGATTCCCACATGCTCTTGATCTACCTCTCTTTGTTTAGGTGTCATTGTTACAGGTTGGTCTGGACAGAATGGTGTTCTATGCAAGTATTTGTTGGGCTGTATTTCATGTCACACTGACAGACATTGTCAGCTTTACAACTGGGCATCTTGATTACAAGGATTCCTCTTGCTTGTTGCTGATAGATAGGATGAGGAGCAATATGAACATGTTAACATCATCTCCCTTGGGAACAACTTACTGGCTCCATTACACCTTATGCGATACTGCTTCTGGGAATTCAAAATCARTGCTGATCAGGGGACAGGGATTTTGTTACTAGTCTGGCACACCCTGCAGAACTTTAACAAGACAAAAGATGCATGCTGAGGATCCACCAAAGCAGAGACATGACAACATAAAAATTCATCTGACTCCATGGAAAATTCACAGCCATTGATCATCTTTTCACTGGCTTCTTTTGGGATTATCAAGGGTGACCTGCCCTTGAGACTTGTTTTTCATCCAGGGAGTTCCCAGCTTGCTCTTGGAGTGGCTGAGTGTAGTTCCATTCTTACCTTCACTCCTAGGCCTCCTGARCTCATTTGAAAAAGTTACTTTGTTGTGCTTTGAGGTTTGGTTGACAGGAGGGCCTGTTCATTCATGTAAATGCAGGCTGCAACTCGTAAGATTCAAAACCAGAAGCAACTCATCCTTAGCAAAACGCATAGGTAGGTTTAGTCTCATGACTGCCACTGTGAACTTTACTTGTGTTGACATTCTCGCTGTTTATTCTGAGAGAGTTTCTTGGCTGTTGCAGTGTTTTTACTARACAGCTGGCTTGTGGGAAAGAGCTGCTTCAGTGACAGTTCAGCAGCTGCAGAATGACAGCAGAGCATGCCCCCGGGAGATCGTACTGGCTTACGACAAGGCCAGTGGCTGTCGAGCAAAACCTGCTGCGTGTTAGAACCATGTGTTGCACAAGAGCTGAGAGCATAGGGGCCTCCTCTGGAGCTCAGGTAGGAGTWCAAGGATTCCCTGAGTGCTTGGAGCAGCCAGCAAGGGACCCTGGCTGACTGTGGTCACTGGTGCAGGTGATTAGGTCCACTGTATTCCTGCTTAAAGGATAAAAGATGAATTCTTTTTTATTGTTTCAAACACATTTTGGTCAATCTGTGCTTTTATGGTTTTGCTTCATGCCTGTTTCATTAACATTTAGTAGGTGACTTTGTGACTAACTAAGAAACATCCTGTGGATAACTCATGAATAGCTGTGATTATAGGAACTATACCTTCACTCCATGGGATCAGACAGGATTTCAGAGCATGTTTTTTATATGATTTAGGGACTTGTTATTTTCACTTTTTAAAAATTGGAACTTGTTGAATATCTAACACTAATTGCAGGCAGTAATTTCAGGTTTGGAAAACACTTTTAGATGAACTTAAACAGTTTTTCTTCAGCATGTTAGAATAAAAAAAAAATCCACATATTATTTGTATTCACCAAGGTACAAATACCCACACTTATTGCAATGGGTGTAGAAGTAAAAGTTCTAGCATAGCAAATAAAGTCTGGTGATGTAAAACATACAACAATTGCCAGATYATGAAATACAGAAATGGGTTTTGTAATTACCACTAAGAAAGAGTGAGCTCAATTCTTGGTCACTGTGTTTTATACCCRTATGTTAGGATGTGTTTTCTGCTTTGTTATTGGAAATTCTTGGGGTTAGAATGTCAAAACAAAGCTGTGGGGCCATGTCTGAGCTGAAAGGCTTTTTATTGGGCCTTCTAACATCACCCAGTGCCCATGTTGCTGCTTTTGTGGAGAATGTGATGTGGCTGGTAGGGCCATCTGGTGTTCCAGAACCTGRCTATGGGGACCCCGTAGCTTCACAYGRTAGCTGAATCCAGCTGACATCCTGCCATACCTAGAGAGGCAGAGCCCTTCCCTGCCTTGTCTTCCCTCCATCTGCACCAGCTYTTCTCCCTCCTCTTCCCCCTCTCAATCGTTTTTTTCCTGGGATTCACYTTTCACAGGACAGTGTGCACATGCAGCTTGCTAACCCAGTAGAAGTGTCCTTTATTTTTTTTTTTAACCTCCCACGCAAATTTTCTTGACATCTTACCAGTCTGTCTTACTATAATCAGRTGCCAGCATTGAACCCAGAAGAGAAGTGGCAGAGTGAGTTTGGGGAGAAGAAGAGAAGTGRTTTCTTCCTGTTTGGTAGTGGTGAGCTGCTAATTTGGCCCACACTATCTCTTGAAACTGCTTAAACATAAATAACCAAAAGCTTTCTTCAKGCTCTCTAAAACCTGAGCTGGAACCTCCAGAGGCTTGTGGCCCATAAAAGTGTGTGTGATGGGGGGCAAAGAGACTGGGTGAGTCTCATCCAGTGATTTTCCTATTTGCAACCTTCCTAGGTTGCTTCAGAGTAGCACAGATCACCCAAAGATGCTGCTCATAATTCTGGCACAGCCTATWTTGGCTCATGTCTGGGTTGTTTCTCAGCTGCAAGGAAGTCTTTCTGCACCTGTTTCATCTGATTTGGTTTCTTTAAGGGCACTAGGTGTTTAYTGCTAGTTTTCCTTTGTGGTCCATCCATTGAGGTTTCCTTGTTTGTTGATTTGCCGGTACTGACTAAGAAATTGTGTGTGTATTTAAGAGTTTGGTCTACTCAGGACTGGCTAAGAGATGGATGGCAGATGTTAATCTATTTCTGTCTTCCAAAGCATCAAATAGTCACTTTCCCTCAGTTTTCAGATATCATCCTTCTCTCTAGTCCGATGAGGTGAATGACAGAATGCTGGCTGTCAGTGCTAGAAAGTTATTTTCCACCAAGTTCTCTGCATGTATTGGAAGGAATCCTGWCAGTACTTTTGGAGCACTGGAGTAGGAAGTGGTTGTCTCTTGGGGAGTGTTGCCCTGGAGGGTCTGTGCTGCATYATTCCTTTGTATCTCACAGCAGCTGTTTGGCTGGATTTATTTTTGGACAGGAGGGATGCGTGTTAAGACAGTTTGAAGGAACCAAGTTAGTAATCAATCCCATTTGTACCTCAGCTGGAAGCTCTCACACTGGGGAATGTGTCCACTGATTGTGTGATGAGAAAGCAAAGAGAGCAAAGCAAGGCAGGAATAATCCTGCCTGAGCTGGATGTCTTGTGTCTTTGGAAAGATATAGTTATCCYGTCTGAAATAAGCAGGACGGCCACTTTGCCCTGTGAAATGATCAAGATCTTCTTGTATTCAAGGTTCTTTCTGTACATACAGTTTCTGGTAAAGTAAATGTAGTGTCGCAAGATSTGTGCAGAGCTTGGGGATTCACCCTTCTCTTTGCCTCTGTTCATACCAGTATCTTGTATCCTGATGACAGTCACATATATTAATAAAATCATAGAAACTCTCAAGTTGGAAGGAACTCATAGGGATCATTGAGTCCAACTCCCTGCTCCTCACAGCACTACCAAAAACTAAACCACATGTCTAAGAGCATTGTCTAGACTCTTTGAACTCTGGCAGACTTRGTTCCTTGACTCCTTTCCTGGGGAGCCTGTTTCAGTGACAGACCACCATTTCAGTGAAGAACCTAATGTCCAATCTGAACTTGCCCTGATGCAGCTTTATTCCATCTCCTCATATCCTATCTCTGGTCCCTTGGAAGAGGAGATCAGCAGCTCCCTCTCCACTGCCCTCCTTGAGGAAGTTGTAGACCACTCAGCCTTCTCTTCTCCAAGCTGAACAAGCCAAGTGACCTCAGCTGCTCCTCTTAAGTCTTGCCCTTGCCCTTTCAACACCATAGTTGCTCTCCTTTGGACACATMTAACAGTCTGATGTCCTTATRTTGTGGCACTCAAAACTGCCCCCTGCACTCGAGGYGCAGCTGCCCCAAWGCAGAGCAGAGAGGGACAATCCCCTCCCTTGCTTGRCTGGYRGTGCTGTGCCTGATGCCCCGCAGGACACGCTTGGCCCTCCTGRCTGCCAGGGCACTGCTGACTGATACTCAACTTGCCATCAACACAAGCCCCTATTTGTCATTCCACAAGCGTGGTTCTAAAAGAGAGCACCCTGCATGTGCCCAGCGTAGTTAATTTCCAAGCACWCAGGGAGAGGGGAAAATCTCAGGCTAGTGGACACATCTTTTCACCAATAAACACCATTAGAAAGAATAGCCATAAGGTGTGATGCTGTTTAGTATGAGTTGCCTGATTTGCTGCTGTTACAACCTCAGCAGACAGGCTGGATTTGCAGACCACCATTCTCCTGATCCTTTGATTACTAAGAATCTGCACAGTAAAGMAAGTCTGGATTTTAGGCAACTTTGTTGACATATATTGATAGTCCTCAGTTGCCACCTTATGTTTGCCACAGGGTGAAGTCTGRTTGCAGGATTCCCAGGCAATATTTTTCCCACCTCTTTTTCACATGGTTGCGTGACATGAGCACAGTTGGGTGCCTGGTGTCTTTCTCTGGCTTTCTTGTAAGCTTGCTTCAGATCATGGCTTTGGATTCAGCCTTGCAGGGTATGCTGGCTCAGTAGTGTGCCTGGAAAGGTAGAGCCTGGAAATACCCTCAGCRTAATGTTTCTTTGTGAGAACTTTTAGAGCCTATGTGCCTTTCCAGTGGAAGGAAGAGTTCAGGATATCTGTGTGGATCCRTCTGTGGGCCTGTAGCAGGCAACATTCATATTGGTCTAAGGCAATGCTAATGGCAGAGTGCCAATATACTGCTTTCCAGGTGTGCACTGCATGCAATGCATGAATTAATTTTAGCTGTGCACCAACACTTCAGCAAACAGATGACTTCTGGGTGTTAATGRCCTTTAAGTGGGTAAAAAACAAATTAAGCATGGAAGTTGACCCCAAAGGATARAAGGCACCATTGAGTGATAGGTGGRAGATGGGTAAGATGCACTGAGGTGAATCCTGGTACACCCTAAGATTGTGCACTGAAAGCTTATGCTTCCAAATGAGAATGTACAATGCAGTTTGGGGCTGCTGGTGTATACTAAGTGCCAGTGACCTTGGCATCCAAAATTTGAGCTTGAAAAAGCCATCTCACTTAAAACAGAGAATTTCTATACAGATTTTACTTTTCCTAGGCTTCATGGAAGAAARTTCAAATGAACAAATATCAAGTAAGTAATCTTGAACTTATTGATTTCTAATTCCCCGATTAATGCCAACAGAAACTTCAAGTACAAAATTCAGTTACGTAATTCTGCAACCTAATTTCTTTCTGAGAAATAATCTCTTCTCATTTTTATTTTGCTTACTCATCATTTTAACATCACAGTATGCTATAGGGTGTTCCCATTTTCTGCTCTAATCTTTGCAATCCACCAAAGAACTGGTTTGTATTTTGACTGTATGGTCATGTTGTGCCCCTCACAGAAATAATTTTATAATATTATGCTTTAATGATTTGGCCAGTTTTATAACTAGGAATCAGAGACTGTAATCAGAGATATTTTTTTTTTGCCAGAACAGTAGCAAATATACTATAGATCTGCCAAGAACACCGTTACTAGTATGAGCTTATGTGTGCATACATGTCAACATGCACACGTTAATCCAAGCATCAGCACATATTACGGAAAAGTGATCCCTGCATTAGCAATCATGTCTGGTTGGGACATTGACAAGMAGGAAAATGAACTCAGCAGAGATTCAATTGTTTATGCTGCTGGTAAAGGTCTATTATCAGCCTGCTAGGTCTGGGATTTGCAAATAGAAAGGCTTGGAAGTCCCTGCCTTTGAGGGTAGCATATGTTTTTKAGGTACTTTCTATGTTTGTTTGGTTCTTTTTAAAGTTTGAATTGTAATAATTTTTAAATAATGTATGTATCTCTCAAGGTCCGACAAGAATTAGTTGAAGAATATGAACAAGTTAAGGGCATTGTCAACACTTTAGAGAGTTTTAAAATGGACAGACCTCCAGATATCTCTGTATCCTGTCAAGATGAGCCTTTTAGAGATCCAGCTGTTTGGCCCCCTCCTGTTCCAGCTGAACACAGGTAATGAGAGGCTCAAGCAGAGTGGGTGGAATAAAGTTGGGTCACCATAGTTTTATATTTGTTTTTGAATGCTTTTGTAACATGAAAATCACATTTAATTTACACATTTACTACTTTTAATTTAGTCACTTGTAATAAAGGCTAAATCTAATTAATTGGGAAAAAACARTTTCAACTACAGTCAGATTTATTGCTGATACTCTACAGAGAGTCACTCCTTTATTCAGGTAGAAGTAACTAAGTGCCTGGAACTAGAGTGCTGCAGAGGTAAGCTGGCTCTTGGTGACATCTGATGTTCTCATCTGCAAGGAGAAAACTTTTCCATTTCAGTTAATTTAGGCAAAAGAATTAATTGACGACTGGGAGTCTGTAAGGAACTGGAACTAGAAGGATCTTGAAGGGCATAGTGGTGAGAAATCACTCCCTAGCTACAGATAATTCAACCTGTGTTTAAGTCATTGGTTAGTTTAATTGCTAAATGTGTTCTGTTACACATGGTATATTTCTTCTGTAACCATATTTAAGGGAACTTCAGTTTATAGATTCCTTAAAATAAATGCTAGTGCATTTTCTGTAATCCCCATTTTCAACCTAACAGAGCTTGTTGGAAACAGATCCAGTCTACAGACAAGAATAACAGTTATCATGCCAATACTTTTCTAACATAGGAGCACAGAATTTTATTATGTGTATACTCACATAAGCAAAGCAGCAAAGTAAAATAAGATCTCTTGGTTAATGGAAAGAAATGCCATATAACTTTCTATGCTTTATGGTTATCAAAGAGATCTTTGCTTTAAAAAAAAAAACCCTAAGAATGTAAGTGCAAAATAAGTTTTTGCACTTTAGTGTGTGGTAGAAATAACTCAGATTTTCTGTGGTAATGTTCTGTAAAATTCAAGATGTATTTATTCTTATATTTTCCTTTGTGATAAAGTCCCTATAGGTTATCTGCTTTTATTTTTTAAGCTGAAATTTAAATCTTGTGCAAATAAGTAAGGAAACTTAGCCACTGTTCTATGCTGTTAAATTTGAAGAAAATGCATGAAAAGCAAAATGTTGCCATTGTATCCAGCAGTGTGTTTAAGACTGTTCTCTTTTTAAAGCATATTCCAGGAAAATATTTTTGGCRTTAACAGATTCTGAGTTGCTCAAAACAAGAATCAGCACAAGATTTAATACTGGACACTTTTTAAATTTGGGTGACATTCCTGGCTGTTTATTTGAGTTCTGTATTTCAAATCCAATCCCTAGAGAAAAACGACAATGACGCTTTGTCTTGAAACCAAATTCTCTCTCCTCATTCTACTGCTGAGTACTCTGACATTGCGGGTGATGTACACAAATATAGCTGCTTGCAGTTCGGCTCTGTTTGCTTTTGCTTTCAAGGCAATTTTTGTCTTTTGACATTCTTACACAGGGGAATGAAGTGAGAGGTAGGAGGATTGTTTAAAGTCCTCCCTCTTTAGTTTGGRGCCTCTCAAAGCTTTTAGTCACTTTTTTTTAAAAAAAAATTCTATTTGTTTAGTTTTTGTTTTACCAGGAATATAATCTGTTTGTGTGGAATTTCTGCAGGTGAATGTAGCCTAAAATAATCTCTTGATTTGAAGTCAGTGGAAGCTTCAATTTGAAGACTTCTGCTAAATTGTTTCCTCTTTTGTTCCATGGGTGTTGGTTTCTTTTAAGATTGATTAGGAGTATTGATCTGATAATGTTGTTAATTTTTTCTTCTGKTTTTTTTCTTCTTACTTTGGGTGTCAGACAGAACCAGAAATATGGTGTTGGATTTGAAGATATAGGAAAATAAGGCTTAGGGTCTTGGCAGCTTTAGTAATAATATACTAAGGCAATTAACAGAATATTAGAATCCTTCCTTTTTAATGTTGCTCTTTTTTTTCACTGTTTTTAGCATGTTTTTGTTGTGGTTGCTTGTTGTTAGGGCTCCACCTCAGATAAAACGTCCCAACCGAGATGGAAAATCATTGAAGAAAGACTCGCCAGGACTGCAGCCCCGCGGGCCCGTGGGCAGAGCACACGTGCTGTCCAAGGGGGAGAAGTCTTCAGGCAGCCGTGAAAGAGAATCTAGAGCCAGAGGAAGAGATGACAAGGTGAGAGATCGGAAATGACTTGACAGGGTAGTCTTGTGATGCAGCAGGTGGCAAAGGGAGCCACCCTTAGTCATTTAATACAGGTAATAAAAAGTCACAAAAATCCCATGCAGGAAAACATAAGGCTTTCTTTTACTCCCATTACTAAAGCGTGTATTGTGGTGATATTTATTAATAATGATACCAAATTAAGAAAAGTTTTGTCATGTTTGTTCTGATTTTGTGTGAGATTTTTTTGATGAAGGGAAGCATAGTGTCCTGTTGCTGAGGCTTTCTTACACTTTGAGTGAAGACCATGGGCTTGTCTTTAATCTCTAGGTGTCATTCAGGCATAAAGTCTCTTCTTCTCCTTTTCCTCCATGTTTGGAGGGCTTTTTTCCTTAAAGGAGCCCAATTCAGGTCTTTTGTAAAGATATGAATGTAAAAAGTACAAAAGTGAGACCAGTGCCCTTCTCTAGACTTTAAGAATTATGAATGGAGTTCCACTGTACCATTGCCTCTGCCATACCATAGCATAATTTAGGTGTATCTAAGAGTCCAGAATGGTTCCGTAAATGCAATGATGCTAGGTAAATCTGTGCCAAATCATTTGAAGTTACACATTTGAAAGTGATATGAGGGAAATGTATTACAAGCAAACTTGTAGCAACTTGCATTTTCTTTGATTTTTGAAAAGGGTTTTGTAATTATTGTAGTGTTCAAAAAGAATCTTTTYGCAACTGTTTTGTTTTAAAAGTAAAAGCAATGAATTAAATTAGACTAAGTTGGAGATACTTCTGAAGATTCATGAAAAAAAGCAGTGCTGAAGTGAAAGGAAAGGAGCAACAGTGATTCACTATAAAATGGTGATGTCAAAGACAGGACCCTTTTGGGGCTTGAAAAAATGTCAATGTTTTGCAAATCACTGTTTCTGAGATACTTGTGTTTTTAAATTTGTGTACTCAGTGCCAGGAACCAAGAACTCTGTGGTATTAATTACACAAGCTGAAAGTATACCGAAATGGCATACTTTCCTGACAGACAAAGATACAAGACACACCTTCCTGTGAGAGCACACAGTATTGTGCAGACTTTGATGGATGAATAAGAAAGGCCAGTTTTCTTCCAAATAGATTTGGTTAGTCCTTTTGTGACCTTTCTACTATACTTCTTGACAGCTTAGGAAAAACTCAAAGATATGCTTTTTCAATCATAAATTGTTTTCTGATGGAAAAGTGTTAAGTAATCCTAGCCCTTATTACCATCAGAAGGTAGGACCAGGCACATTTTCATCAGTGCCACTGAGTGACTGTACAGATCAAACATTTTAGAAATCTCTCTACCCTGGATCAGTAAKATTTAAAATAACAAGTGTGCCTCCTGCAAGCTATAAAAATCTCGTGAAGATCTGTGAAAATATTTAAAGTTTTGCCAGCTATATGGGGAATTGGAGTCGTGGTATGTGACAGGTTCACCAGATGTGCTTGTGTAAGGCAGCCTTCAAAGTCTTAGCTCTAATGAGGGTGAACTCTGCTCTCCAAGCTTTCCGGTGATGAGCATTATAGGGCTTTACTATAAGGAGCCTACAGCAACATGACTTGTATAATACTTGTCTCTGGAAATAATGTGATTAGCAACACTACTGCTGTGAGGTGCAGGAAAAGTTATGAAGGTGGTCCATTTAATATGGTACATTTTAAACACTGCTCTTATCTGAATAAAGTGGTCACTAGGTGGCAGAAGGAAAATATGTCTACTCCTCAAAAAATTCCAGTACATGTGCTCTTGTATTCCCCTTTGTCCAACTACTTGGTGGTTATTTTAGTTCCTTTGTCTGGGGTGTGTAACTGAAAATCACCCCAGCTTACAAATTCTCATGTGCTATATAATGATTCTTGTAAGGGATGCATGATTTGCCTTTGAGAAAGATTTTGAATGAAAGAAGAAGTAGCCAGGTGTGGGAAGTGAAATTAGTGAATGCAACTTTTTCACAGGCATGAAAATAAATTTACCTTTCAGTTTTATCCTTTCTTAGTTTACAACTGTTTGTTCTTCAGTTTCTGAGTTTGAATCATCAAACAGCTTTCCTTTGTAGCTTGGTATGTTGAATTAGAGAGATCTGGGAACTCCTCATGTTCAGTTAAAAATAATAGGGCAAAACTGAAGCTTCAAATKAAGTAACCAGGTATCTTTTCTCATACTGAGTGTTTCAGCTCTGCAGTTTTGGGGTTTGGGTGCAAAGCTCAGATTACTTAGAACATGTAACAAACTACCTGTTTTCTAAGAGATGTTGATTGCAGTGTAATACTTTGCATGCTGTCCTGGTTATAATACCAAATGTAATGCATTTTTTTTCAAGGTAAATATAGTATAGTATGTATTATTTAGAAGTGTGTTGCCTTACTTGAAACAAAAGCCTTGTTTCACTGTTTCTCCTCTCCAGACCATACCATGTTTTTGTTCTGACAGTAACCATCATGGTTATTAATAAATAATTTTAACCTGACTGGGCCAATAAAATTTCCATTTTTAGTGCCATATAAAATAATTTTGAGCTAAACCCACCAGATGGTGTCTATCCTCCAAATCTTGTCTTCTTCTTTTTTTTTTTTTTTTTTTTTTTTTTTTTTTTTTTTTTTTTTTTTTTTTTTTTTTTTTTTTTTTTTTTTTTTTTTTTTTTAATAAATATGGCTTTCAAGTGTTTCTTCCTTCTTAGTTCCACTGGAAATGATTAGGCTTGTTCTCAGGGTACCTTCTGCTGGAGAATTACCAAGAGTTTTAGCTTCTGTTTAATAGTTCAGCTTAAAGAGGCAGYATGAATGCTACCTGTACGTCTTTTAGAAATTGCATAATTTCTAAGCACTGGAACACTTTTTTAGGAGTAATCTTTAAATTATTTTAGATTGTCAGTGGATAAGGAYAGTAAATATTGTGAAGGATATGAAACAGCCAAGGGCTGCTCAGCCATATCAATGAAGTGAATGTTAAAATCAATGAAAGTATGACTTACAAAAATTAAATTATTTTTGCTTGATTATTCTCCTGTACATCATCAAATGTGAGATGAGATAAGATAGTTGCATTAGGTGAAAGCATGGACCTCCATGCATTGGGACTGGAAGACTGCATAATCTCCATCTGAAAATGCTGAAAGAACAGGGAGGTGAAATTGCAGGGCTGGGAGCACAGATTTACAGTTTTACTTGGTCTGCTGCTGTCTCATGTGAATGGGGAGTTGTGTTGACTGCCTCTATTGAGAAGAAGAAAGGAAAATTTAACCAGGCAACTGGAGTTGTTAGTTTTATCTGAACAGTATAYTATATTTTACAACAAATTTGGAGTGGATGAAAAGCTAAAGACTTGGAGCTAACTGAAAAGTGGAATAGAGTGAAATATTGTTTCTTAAGCAAAGGTGTTGCCTCTGCCAGGACTTTCTTTAGAGTTCTACTTAATGTCTTAGAGAAAGGAATTAATCTACCTGGATACCACATGGGAAGCAATTTGTTAATCTAATGTGTGGTGTAGAGGAATTGTAAAGTGGGATTAGGCAGCAAAGGGAAAGTAAACAGGCAGGACTGAAAGGAGAAGTAGCAGTCAACTGGCAAATGTTTTTTGACTCTTGTTTTATATTTAAATTAATATTTTTGAGTCAGTTTGACTTAGCACAAAAAAAAGAGGCATGCACTAACTGAATTTGCTGATGACACCAAGTTGGGAAGCACCATCACCACAAGAGGCAAGTGAGGCTGTTGTACAGGAAGAATTGGATGACTGTGCTGCAGTCATGGAAATAGSATAATGTTCAGTGGTGCAGAGCAGTAGGCTGTGTACTTGGAGAGTATAACAAGAATTTGTGCTAGAAGTTGGGGGCTCAGTGGTAGAGGAGGAGCCTGATTTGGATGTATCAGCAGAAATTGGATCAGACTGAACTTCCATTTGGCWCATAACTTTTTCCTGGTGGTGATAGGAAGGGCAGGCTGCTGGCATGAGGCATGGTCAGGTGCCACCTTTGACTTCGGCATTTGTGTGCAGTAGGAAGTACCTGCTGGAAAACAAGGCATCTTCAGGGCCCAGTTCTGGTCCTAACAGCCCTCAGGGTTATTTTAGGTGTTTGATCTGTCTGAGGTTGCCTTTACAGGGGCAGTATGATAATGCTATGGATGTGAATGTAAACAAAATCCCAGGCCCAGTTTGTTGAGGTGTTACCAGCAGAGAGAAGAGATACCCATGCCATTATAGAAGGTTCTGGTAAAAAAAAAAAAAAAAAAAAAAAAAAAAAGGGGGGGGTGGGGAGAGGAAAAAAAAAAAAAAAAAAAAAAAAAAAAAAAAAAGCTGGAGTGTTTTGTGTACAACCATACTCAAAAAAGAAATGTTAACATTAGGAGGGAGAAGGGAAAAAAGGGTTGCGAAAGTGAGTGGGTAATTATGTTCAACTTGTGTTCCAAAAGGAGGCTTACTTGGTTTGATAAAGGCAGAGCATAAAGCAGAATAAAAGTACATCACAGTGGTGGACACACAGAGGAGCAAACTGCTAAAACGAATGCAAAAATTTAGGACCAGAGTAGGMATAACATCAATTTTGGAAATAAGGTTTTTGTTCCAGTGGGTTAGTGCAGGTCTGATAGCTCGTTCTGATGGAAATCACAGATTTCTAAATGTTTAAGACAGGAATTAGTTGCCTGAAATTACRTGATGGGATTGCCAAGGGGTGGGAYTAGTCTTTTGCAGCCCTGTATACCTTGTCCATTGGCATACCTTCTTAGAGAGAAGCCATCACAGCAACTTTATTTAAAGCTGTTTTGTGAAAGTAATACCAGAAGAAGAGATCACTGGGAAAATGATGCTTACTCCTGCTGCCTAGTTTCAAGTAACACTTTGTAAAAATTGTTATTTCCAGTCTATGCTCACTTACCTGTTGACTGAGGATTGCATGTTGAACAATTTGGGACTAGCATTAATAATCTTACTACATGTGAAAACTACAACTATTTTAAATCTTGGTTTAATTACAAAACTGGGAGCAAAAAAAAAAAAAAAAAAAGAAAAATTCCGTGTCATTACAATGACAGCCGAGGTGATGCTGACAGCCGGCCGCCCTTCTCCCTCGTTCCGCTGGCAAGGCATGCCGCAGGGTCAGGAGGAGCAGCGGTCCCTGGACAGCAAGTCCCCGGGAGCAGGCGGCGGGGCCGGGCTCGGGGCCGTGCTGCCTCCCCGCGGCTGCGCCGGGGCTCTCGGCGCCCTCCCGGCCCCGACAAGAGCCTTCCTTCCCCCTTGGATTCCTGTTTTGCTGCGCTTGGCCGAGCTGCGTCACAGGCCCGGCGAGCGGGCGGTGCTCGATCTGCCGGSCTGGCTCGGGTGCGGGCGCTCCGCTGGGGCCTGCGCCCTCCCTGCTCCTGCTCCCTAAGTGCTGCTTCAGCTCGGTTTCACTCGGGAAAAAAAYAAAACAAAACCCAACCCCAACAAAATCAGCCGATTGTTTTGTGATATGCAGAAAAAAAATTCTGCCAGTTCATTGCAGAACAAGAGGAGTATGTAACAGACAGTAAAGTACCTTTCATTTCACTGTCCTGTTTTTTTTTTTGTTTGTTTGTTTGGTTTTGTTTGGTTGGTTTTTTTTAATGGTTACATTTGGATTCCATTTTATCTCTCCTGAAATCTTGAAAACTCTACAGGCCATCTTTCTCCGTTTTCTTTTTACACCAGACTTAAATTTTTTACATCAGCTTTTTGCTTAAGCACAACTTTTCGCTTCGTTTCCATTGCAAAAAGCTGAGCTAGGAGTACTAAACAACACAAGAGTTCTCTTAGAAGCAAGAAATAAAAGTAGCGGAAAGATAAACTACTCCCTCACAGTCGTCGTGGGCAAACGGCAACTAGGAGGGGTGTAATCGCTACCTTTTTGKTTTTTTCCACTGCGAGGTTATTTGTGTTTCTCCAGCTGCCTCTCAGCCCGCCTTCGTCTAGGATGCTTTTGTCCAGCCAGCTGGGATTCTTTAACTTGCTGCTGATCGTGTTTAGAACCTAAGTTAAGAGTCCTAAAGTAGCTCCCTATTCAGCCCCCTCCGTTAAACCAGCTGCTTTTCAGGCACCCTGAACGCTGGGACGGGAAGCGATTTCCGCCTAAACTGAGAGAGGAGGAGCGTGAGCCCTGATGCTTCAAAGGGAAAATATTATTTCACCTCCATAAGCTGAATGGCACTGTGGAAGTATTAATGAGGAACTCAGGGCCATTTGGGGCAGTGGCAGAATGTGGCTTGGTCACTGAATTAGCATTGATTAGCTGCAGAAATGGCTGTAGTATAAGAAGCCTGGGTGTCTTTGGAGCTTCTTTAGGACTTTGTGTGCAGTCCTTAAATAAATAGGACCTTTTTAAAGCATTTTAATTGTTTGTGGAGCTGGCCTGCGAGTGAGAAGCTAGACGCAGATAGGTTGTAGCAGAGGAACGCAGATCTTGCTGGGCAGGAACGCTTTAAAGAAGAGAGGGAGGAGAATCTCGGTTTTCCTCCTCCAGAGACGATGTGTGTAATAGCTTCCCAGTACCTTTTCAGTGATGGTAGTGTCAGATGTTTACCTCTGACAGTGGCAAGTGTAGCATCTTCAAGATATGCTTTGGAATCTCCGGTCTTCAGCCAGGACTTGATGTAGCTTTAAGCATGACACAGCCACCTTTGTGAGCCTGTTCCCAAATTCATGTCTTTGGCTGGCCAGGAAGTATGTCAGTTGTGTAATGTTCTCATGAGCCTGTATTATTTTCACTTCCAGGGAAAGAAAATGTCCCAGGAATTTGGTGATGGGGATATTCCAAAATTTGATGGAGCAGGTTACGACAAAGACCTGATCGAAGCTCTTGAAAGAGACATTGTATCAAGGAATCCGAGCATTCATTGGTATGAGRATTTTCTCAATTCAAGCSTTTTTGCTAGTGTAGAAAAGGAGASAAATTACCYGTCTTCAAACTYTTAAAACAGGGAAACAAYATAATCTTCTACAGATAGGCAAAACCAAGATCTTTTGCTTTTACAGTTTAGTAATTTGATTAAAGTTAAGCTTTTGTTGCTAACTGATATTATGTGCAGCGCATCCATTACAGGAWCTGCTGAAATGAACATACACTCCAGAGATTTTTAAATACACTGCTTTGGTGTTCACATTGTCCAAAACAATTTTTAATTCAGCAGCTCTGGGTAACTTGAGTTGAAAATAATTTTTTCCTTACCTTCCGAAAGTGGATTCCATTTGAGGTCACAGTATGATAGGAGTGCTCTTATGAGGCATATGCTTGCATGCTAAAATAAATGGTACTAAAAGTGAAAAGCTTTTCTGTTTTTCTTGTATAAAAATAGAAGAAATATAGTTGTATGAGAATCTTATACAAGTTTGTTCATCTTGCACAGGGATGACATAGCGGATTTGGAAGAAGCCAAGAAATTATTAAGAGAAGCTGTTGTTCTTCCAATGTGGATGCCTGATTTTTTCAAAGGGATCAGAAGACCTTGGAAGGTGAGAATTTATTTGGTAAATAAATTTCGTTTAAATAATTTTCATTTTTGTAATGGCAAGCTGTAGCTATGTGTGTCTCCTGCYGTAATGTGGGGATGCCTGTAGCAGGAAGCTAAAAAGGTAAATGGGAAAGACTGTTTTAATGAATTTGTTCATTAAATACTCTCATAATGATTCATATAAAATGCACTGAAAGAAACAGCTGCAAGTRTATGTGGTTCTTACAGTAAACAGTATTTTCTGTTTATTTACTTGCTTGTAGCTTGTTTATATTATAATACAATCTATATGCCATTCTGTAGATATGAACCTACAGATTATATTGACTGGAGAAGAAATACTTAATAGACAGCTCTACRCAGGATTATGGTGGCCAGTTATCATCGCTTCCCAGAAGAAAGCAGTTCTCGGACTGTTCTGTTCTAAATGTTTCAGCTAACTCTCTCTCAGTCCACAAATTGCAGCCTGGATGGTACAAGGAAGCAAGAGGGACAACAGSAAGGATATGGGACTGAACTAGGCTGACTGACCAAAAGTGAGCCCAATCTGGTCCTTGCTTAGAGCTAAGAAATAAGAGGAGGGAGGAGTTTGGCAAGCATTTCTCTAAACAGCAAATAAAACTATCTTGCTTCTGATGTGGCATCAATGGATTGATGCTTGTTTGGGGAATGACTAGTTATGACACAAGGCCTTTTTGGTYACTGGGAAGCATTACTGGGGAAAAGAGACTATTGCAAGTTACCTGTTATTCTGAGTCTGGAAGGCAGTGGCATGTGTAGGGAATGCTGTGTGTATGAGTATTTTCTTGTTTCTGGTTCAGCAGCATATATCAGATCTTGCTCTACAAACAGTTGTTCTGTCTTTTCCTGGTTGGTCCTTGTGCTTCCCTGGTTTATACTTAGGTCAGACCCAGCAGGAGCTGGAAGATTGCTGCTTGAGAGGTGTTCATGGAGGTTTTAGTGAGYTGTAGGGAGGGACACCAAACTTACAATGAGCACAAACCTAGCCCCAGGCTATAGGGCCTTTGGAATTTAGAGTGCTTGTGGTCAGTACCAGTGGCCTTGAGATTAACCTTAACTGAGCTACCATCTGGGACAAGCCTAGATGTCGTGGGTTACATGTGCAGGGTGAGATTTTATTGTGTTTTGAACTGCTGRATCTCTCTTCTCTTCTTGGTTTAGAGGAAGTTCATCCATACCCTTATTATAGACTATGGGGGCCCCATCTGTCTAGTCTCCAAAAACTTCTAATTGAGTAAAGAATCTGCTCTGCTTTTCTTTTCACCTGTTAGCATGCACAGAGGATGTARTGGCCATCTGTCTTTAAGATAGGTATCTCAGCAGACTTCAGGAAATGTGAAAAATGCCACTGGCCTCRTCTCCCAAGTGTTGTGACAGGGAATAAAAGAGCAACAACTTGGTCCTTTAAAGACAATCTCCACCTCTTTGCATGAGTCTACCTTTTCCTACTGAGCACTGTCACCTCTGAAAACCAGGTGGTTGTTGACATGGAAAAAAAATCTATGATTATTTCCTCTCTTCAGTCTGAAAAACAAATTGATTTCTGACAAGGTTATGAAGAGTCTTCATTGTTAGCCTTTTCCCTAGTAACTTGTGAAGCTGTAACTCTCATGAATTTATTTTTCACACAGAACAGCATGTATTTTCCCTACTGTTGRCCTCTGACTGTGCTGTAAGGATGAGAAGTATTGAAGGGAAGGCTGTTTCTTGCAGTAATCAGTGTAGCAGCAGGCATTTGTTGAGCCTAGGAATTCAGGACAATAATTCAGGGAAAAAGGCAGCCAAAGCTTGTTTGGGATGTTCAGACTCCGCTGAGAACAATTCCCAAGACAGCCCTCACAGTTTGTGCCTGTATTCAGAGGATGGTGCCTTGTCTGAGGGAGCCAGCTGTCTTCCCTGATTCAATACAGGTGCTGAGTAGCTGCAGCCATGGGTTTCTGAGTGTCTGTGGGTTTGCTCTTTCTTTTTCTCTGACCTGTTKTGTGCCAAGAAAGCCTGGTTGCTCACTGTGCTTCCCACTGCTCTGCTGGTGACTGTTACAACGACAAGAAGTAACCCTGCAGTGATTTCATCAAAACAATTACTCTCCCCAGTGCATTTCAGCTTCTTATTGGAATTCTTGGGATTAACAGTGCCTTAGAGGAAGAATAAAGAAGTCTTTGTGTTAGTCAAGGATTTTAAATAGTAGGTAGCAGCCTCCTAGTTTGCAGAAAGAGCAACTTGATTCTGTGTGTTTCTTTTTGCAGCCATGCATATCACTTTGCTGCAAGCTCAAGTTCTTTTTTTTTTTTTTAAGAGCAACTTGATTCTGTGTGTTTCTTTTTGCAGCCATGCATATCACTTTGCTGCAAGCTCAAGTTCTTTTTTTTTTTTTTTTAACTGATATTTCTATTGTCTCTATCCCCAGAGAGTTTGGTTTTCCCCTGGTTTTACACCTGGTGTGGCTGCTTTGCACCTGTATTATGCACATGTATAATGCCACCAGTATGTGCAAGGTAACGCTTCCCATAATACTTAGTAAGAGGTGCAAAGTGACAGCCTGCGTACTGAAGCCAGGATTTGACCTTCCCATAGTAATGGAGAACTGAACCAATATCCAAAAAATGTCATTAGTTGCATGTATCACCGGGTCTTGCACTAAACACAGTTTATCAAACACACGTGTCAAGTGTGATTTGAATTGAGGGGAAGCTTATTTTAAAATATTAAATTAACACATTTGAAGCTCAGAGAGAACAGTAAGTCATCTCTGACCTGCATATTACASGCTGAGTAATTTTCACCCAGTCACTCCAGGGTTGTGTTTCTAATATTGTTATAATATCAGTATAACTGTGCAGCATCTCAAATCTGAATGTCTGAGTGTTCACGGGGAGAAAGGAGAGTCCATTTACCTTTTATGCATCCTGCTCTGGAGCTTAGGAAATCTTGGGCAGCTGAGCAGTGACTTTGGACTGTTAGCTGTAGAGATGGTGTGTGAACATTTCTGACTTAATTTACTGATGAATGTATGTTGAGCYTGCATTAGCTAAGTATTAAATGGCAATAAAGGTATTAAGAGTTAATGGAAAATGGAGTACAGAGAGGCTATTGCTTTTGAATGGTACATTTTTGAATAATTGCRTTCCCAGTTGATTTGTTTTTATAGATCTCTTCAATGTCATTCTTTTTTGAAGTAAATGTTTGTGAGGAACAGATGAAATCTAATTTGCTATATGGCTTGCATTTAACAGACATGTTATTGCTGTGGCTTTTTATGTAAGTTATTAATTGCAATGTACATTATGATGTGCAATTCTCACTCTAACTGATTTGATTACCTTTGCAATACAGTACAATTTTAGGAAACTTGTTAGCATGTAATAAGATCTTGCAATTGGGAGGGGGAAAAACACCCCAAGCTGCTTGAGCACTACATTTTCACTGATTTACTTAAAATCACAGGGCCATATTCTACTGCTRTGCAGAGTATGGAAGAGTGTTTTGTCCTTCTCCAGTGCTGCTTCTGAAAGGGTTGGAAGGACTACCCATAAAGATGGCTAGTGATTAACCCATCTCAGTGATACAATCTTAACATGGGCTCTGAGAGCACTGTGTGTAAAGCCCAAAATCTGTTTGTGTAATGATGGGTAAATGTGCTGAGCTGCAGGCATGTGTGCCCCTTTCTTTCAGAGACTGCGGATGGAAAGATAGTCTGATGATGTGGATACTAACCTGGGACTTAACAATTGTTTCTGGTTTAAAGCTTTCTAAATAATCACTGAAGTTCAGATTAGACTTTCATGGGACTAAGMAGCAGTTCACATGAGCCACAGCTGYTTATATCTGTAAAATGGGAATAGCTGTGCAGTCCAGTCATTCAGTGGCATGATGAGGATGGTGTTTCATCCAGGAATTGCTAAGATGCAGTAATGTGCTCATAGGAATATTGAGATGRGGTTATTAAGCAATATAACAAACTGATGTATTCAGTGTATGCTCTTGTGCAAATGTAAACATCAACYGGATTCATACGTATTTTCAGGATGTTTTAGGAAAGTGTTTTTCTGCAGAAAATTGCTCTGTTGAGGGAATACAACTCACTGTGAAAGTATTTTGATTTCTGTAAAACTTTCTTTGTGACAGCGCCTTTGTTCCAAGAAAAAAAGAATTTACTATCTTCATCTCCTTGTGCAGCGCCTTGTGAGCTGGGAAAGGCCTAAATTCAAGTCTAGACTCTGATTCTGAGCAAGTCTATAAATCTCTTGTCCATTTCCTAGATATTAGGTGCAGCACCGGTTGCTGGCTTTTGTGGTTCTGACGCCAGTGGAGTGGTAAGAAGAAGTGGCAAAACACTTCTACGCTGTCCTTGAAAGTAGGATACTTATCTTCTGTTTTCCAATTACAAGGATTATGTTATTAATTTAAATCCAGATCTTGGCTCATATTGAGATGTTATGTGGAGTACCAATGGCCAGGTTTTCTTTATTTGTTGTTTAYTACCTTTGTTCTCACCTTTCAGGGTGTGCTGATGGTTGGTCCTCCTGGCACTGGCAAGACAATGCTAGCGAAAGCTGTTGCTACAGAGTGTGGGACAACATTCTTCAATGTGTCTTCCTCTACACTGACGTCAAAATACAGAGGGGAGTCTGAGAAGCTGGTGCGCCTCCTGTTTGAAATGGTATGTCCTCAGTGATGTAATCTGGGGTTCATTAAAATGACAAAGGACATCACTCTTGGTTTCCTGCCCTTCCAGTAGCATGTTGGAAGCATAGAGTTCATTGAACTGACACTCCCTCAACCAATTAGAAAAACATAATCTCTGTGTTTCCACATGTGGTGTGTTACTGAGGATTAAGAAGGAAATGGTTTGTCACCCATGTTTAGGATAGCATTTTCCAGACTAAATAGAGAGCTGCAACCTCCACAGAAATTCAGTACTTGTTTGGCTATGGTATAACAATCCCATATGAAGTAGATTTGAAATTGGAAGGGCTTTGGAACAGTTACTCTAGAAGCAGTACATGTTTTAGTTCTGTTTCTGTTCTGAATGATGGTCACAAGCCTCTCAATGAAACTGTGGATGCAGTCATACAGGGTATGTGAAGGACATACCCATGTGGACTGTATCTCTGGGACCCTCACTGCCCTCCTAAACTACTCACAGCTAAAACCAGTCTCTCTTGAAATCAGCTGAGCTCCCTTGTGTCCCTTATGGTCAACCCTCACCAGCACACAGCCTGGACATGAAAACTGCCTGTATTGTGTCATGAACACTATCCTGTTGTGGTAGTGTTCTTTTCCCCTTTGCAACACTGTTGCTGGGGAAAGCCAACCAATACTGACCCAAGGAGTACAATTTAAAGTGTAYAAACTTCAGCATATAACAGCTCATAAATGAAGATGTTGAGTTCTTCCCTTGTGGCAAGCATGGAAGATACCTATGTAGTATGACTAGCAGTGCTGGGTTGTGGTCTGATAAGGGCCTGTGCTTGCTGAGCAGCCTTAATAGTGATGTTTTCATTTGATTAAAGGCACGGTTTTATGCGCCAACGACAATCTTCATTGACGAGATAGATTCCATCTGCAGCCGCAGAGGCACATCTGACGAACACGAGGCCAGTCGCAGAGTCAAGTCAGAGCTGCTTGTGCAAATGGATGGTAACGAGGCCTTAGATCTGGGTTTGGGGTTGGGATGCTGTTTCTTAACAGGTAGGAATGTTAGAACTTGAGCATCTGGGAAACCTGTCATTATGGATAGGGGAAAAATTAAGCAGAATTTGAGACTGGTGTATTTTTGGAGTGTTCAATGACAGATAACTGAAAAGGATGTTCTGCCTAATTGTTTTAAAATGGCTGTTTTTAGGGTGACTTAAAAACTCATGTTAAAGAGGTACAGACTAGGAGAAGCAGATGATGGAGATTTGTGAAGTTTAATGCAGGTGTTTAATTTGTATTCAATTTAAACAAAAATCTGGCCTTTGCTAGAATCTCCAGTGGAATCCCACTGTGAAATCTGCTTTTGCTGTATTTTATGGTGGCAGCTAATATTACCCTTTTCAGTGAGGTTTAGTACCTGTTTTGTGCAGGTGCACACAACAAGCATGACCATCTGAGGAATACTGTATGGTGTAGAGGTTTGATCACCACCTTTATATTGCAGCTATTATAAACTGATGTATAAACTACTGTATTTAAACTATTTAAAATGTTCTCAAATTTGCAGGTTCATTGTAGTAAGCTCAGGATAGGAAACCTTTTGATCCAAAATGTTAATTTCTTTGCAGTCCACACTTGGTAAGCTGAATGATTCCTGTTTCTTCTATGACCAGACTCAACAGAGATAGCATGGCCATGGGATGAGTATGGCTACTGACATATGGCTGTGTAATTAGCACTGTCAAAAAAATCCCTTCTCTGACTCAGCAAAAAAACAAACTGTCCCTCTCTCTGTGATAATTATGGTCTTGTGACACCTAAGCTATGGGAGGTTTGGAAAGGGACACAGGACTATAGAAAGCTGTTGCTTAGCTTTGTCCAAGCTGTGTTTGTGCAGTGTTTCTCAGCAAGCATTTCAATCAATTAAGAGCTGTGGAGTGAAATTGCTCTGAACTGTTGTGCTTGCAGGGGTGGGTGGTGCTCTGGAAAACGATGACCCTTCCAAGATGGTTATGGTATTATCTGCTACAAATTTTCCCTGGGATATCGATGAAGCTCTTCGACGGAGACTGGAGAAGAGGATTTATATACCTTTGCCCACGGGTATGTTTGATAAGACGGTTTTACTTTCCTTACTTTACTTTCCTTTCAAAGGCGAGTTTGTAGGATTACTGTAGGACTGTTGTGTTTGTGAGAAATCTTGATGGTTTTGTGATGAGCAGAGAAATTCAGGGGTTAATAATTTGTCTGGGTCGCTTTATTTTTAAAGAGAGTGAGAGAAAGAGAAATACTGCTTGCTTGGGGGCTTAAAAACAAAGAGCTTGGCATTTCATTGCAAGCCATTGATGGGTTCTTATATTTTGAAAGAGAGTTAGTTTTAATGAGCCTGGAATTATTTTAAATGTTTAACAGTCTGTGATCATCAAAAGCAGCCTTTGGACATGTTCACAAATATTGCAAATACACTCCATGCCCTTGCAAACAAATGCAAAGAAGTGGATCCATGAATTTTCACTTACAGGCTTAGTTCATTGCAAATTACTGCTTACTTGCCTTTATTAACCGTGCTTTGAGTCACTCAGAATGCAGCAGGCTGATTGCTTTCCTGCCCTGAGACAGCTCAGCTTGTATTGTCTTTCCTAGCTGTCATTCACCTGTCCTATTAATTTTGAGATTCCTATCACTTTAAGTTTGCATAGCTTCGTTTCTTCTTGCTGCAGCGGATGCCTCATCTCCCTGCATGAGCACTCCAGATAACAAGATGCGTGTCCGTGGTGACAGCAGTTGTGATTGAGTTTAGCAGGTCTAAGGACACTTAATAGTTCTACAGCTTGTCCTTACAGCTTACAGGCAGTTACAGCTCCTAATAGGATGCCTGTCTTTATGACCAATTAGTTTAAAATCCTATCAGCTCTTCCTCTTGTTTCTAATTAAACTAGATTGTTTTTTAACACAGTATATTACTCCCTGGATGACATAGGAGATGTGATCTGGTTTATTTCCAATCTTAGGTTCTGTTGTATCTATTTTGCAAGTAAGAATGTCGTGCTGTTCTGGGCAAGTCTGAGTGATGCATTTGTAACTGTGCTGTGTGATTTGATGTGGTCAAGCATCTTAACTGAAAAACTGCTATGATAATGTATCATATGATAGCATAACCTGTATATTATGGAATTTGATGCAAACATAAATTCTGTAGTGTTTAATTTTTAAAATGCTGCACAGACTTGCTTAGCCCCACAGCAACAACTAGAAGAAAGTTCTCTGATGCAAGACACTCTGCAGGTATGCTGTGTGTACGTTGTGCTTTAAATAATAAATCTCTGTTTTATAGCTAGTGCCAGTTGTATGTGATGGATAACTCTGTGCTCTTGGCAGTTCTGCAAAGCACACGAAACCAGCAGCTTTAGACGAGATTTTTGTTTTCATTTGTATTTCCCCTTCCCCAAAAGTTAAAAAAATGATAATTAGGGCCATCAATAAATGAAGCATAATGTGTTTTGTTGCACATTTCTTTAAGACTTTTAGCCTTTCCCACTGCTACTTCTTCTGTTCTGGTTGCCTTTTTCTATAGGTCATAAAAATTGATCACTTAGCAATAAAGATGCTGAGCTGGTATATATTTTTTCTGTACAGTGAAAGCYAGGAAACCAGTCGTCCTCTTCTTTACCGCCATTGTGCAGAGTAACRCAGAAGCCTAAGCTGTCAACTGTGAATCCCCTTTTATAAGCTTAGGCTGCTTAACATATGTATCCAAATGTGCACATATCCTCYGCAAGAGAAATGGTTAATTGACTTCCTAAGTGCTCATTTACACAGCTGGTTATCACTTTATGCATACTGCATCTGTGTAGGAAAGTGGGATATTGGGATATTTGTATTGTAAATATATTAATGTATGTTTATTGTATTAATGTCTCTGTTTTCTATCAGGCTTCAGCAGATTTCTTGGGTCCCAGCTGAGTGAACTAGTTAAACATATGCCTGAAGTTCAGCCTGTTGTTAAGGGRTTTGTGCTGTCTGAAGCTCTTTTAGTAGACTCCTTATTGCAGTTCTAATGAAACTGTATGAATAATATGCAGTCAAACCCTTGAACAGTGAGTGGATCCAAAGGGATTTGAGACAAAACAAACATTTGTAGGATTGTTCTTTTGTGCCCTTGCGTAATGTGTGACCAAATGCTTTATCACCTGAGACATAACGACGTTTTTAATGACATTCCACTTTGTCAAATGTCTTGCGATTGTGCTATTTTAATACACTGCATTTAAACAAATACTTTACTGTATTTGATTGCACACTTCACTATGCTTTATTCTCTCTTTTCTTATATTGAACTCTTTTGTTCATACTTTTAACTGAAAATATCTAAGTTATGTTTGTATCTTTTTTAAATGTAACTCTTACAAGTCTTCAAATGAGTATTTTTTATGTTTTAGCAAAAGGCAGAGCAGAGCTACTAAAGATTAATCTTCGGGAAGTAGAACTAGATCCCGATATCAGCCTTGAAGAAATTGCTGAGAAGATTGAAGGCTATTCTGGTGCTGATATCACTAATGTTTGCAGGTATCTTTTGCCCCTTAATTTACTAATAGAACTGCATGGAAAATCATCCTTTGCATTATGTAATARAAGGCAATACCCACTACAGCTGTGCTAACATGGCAGTGTTTGAGGCCCAAATCTATTTACTGGAATAACGTGTTTCTGTCATGTGGAGTGGTCTAAAGACCATGGAGTCTTTCTGTGAGATGTGGTTTTCTTGGATCTGAAGTGAAAAAAATTATCTGAGCAAATCTCATGTTACAATTGGCTGCATTTACTGGAGTTGTCTGCATTTGTTAATGCAGTGCAAAGCAGATTTATTTTTTAAATCTCATCAGTTTAAGAGCTAGAATTCCATAATACAAAAATTCCTTTCACAGAATACTTCTTTGGGGCTTCTATATGGTGGATGTTGGGACCGCACAGTCTTGGTATCTACCTGAATCTTCTAGGTGCAAGGGATATAGAGAGAGTCTATAATATTAGTATTTAATTTATTTCCATCCTGTTCCCACAATTTGTTTCTTTTTTGACAAATGAAGCTTTTCAGGGGAAGGATAGGTATTTGAAAAAACTTATCTGAAGGAAGTTTATGTTTCTTAGGAATTCAGTCAAGAGAAACTAATCCTGTATGAGCATGGCTTGAGAATTTTTTTTCCTCTCCCTGCCACTTTTSTGAAAATGTAAAATCACTCCATGGATTTGAAATCTTGGTGTGTGTCACATGGTAGTGAAATTACCTGTTCTCCCTAAGGCTTGTGTTATCTCTTGCTGGGAAAAACCTGGGGAGAGAGAAAATGTAATTTCAGATTGCCTGTGGGCCATGGTGTGAGAAAATGAGCAGTGTCTTCAAGGCAGTGGGCCACACTCTCAGGATCTGAGCTGGGGAGAAGTCATGGAGCTGGCAGAGCATGAGGAGCCACAGGCACTAATGGCCTCAAAGCTGCAGGGCCATGTGATGCTGTGTCTGGTGCCCCCTGCTCTGCCCTTCACAGATCTGGGTGCTGGGGCAAGGAGGCAGCTGAGCTGGGCTGCTCTCTGAACACTTGCTGACTTTCCTTTGGGGCTACACTTCAGGGAGAAAGTCTAAAAGGAATGGAGTGTAAAAATCCAGACTACTTCAAAAAAAAAAAAGTCTTTGAGTGCAGTTCATCTCCCACCATGCCCTTTTTTTTTCTCAAGTTGTAAAATTTCATCTCTATGAATCATTGTAAAAGGTTTTCAGTTTTATAGTTTTAATTATCTCTGCACATTTACCATATGCCTAAATGGGTTTTGGTGCCAATGCATTCTTTATGTTGAATTAATGTAGTCATCTGGGAACATGGAAGGTATGAAAGATGTGAACTTCATCTTCTATGGTAAATAAATGCTCTCTTAAGTGTTCCTGCCAGTGGTTTCTAGGAAGAGAATACAATCAAAATTCATAGGCTTACAGCACATTCTGCTAGCAATTAGCTCCCATGCATTGTCCTGTATTTCCAGGGACGCATCTTTAATGGCAATGAGACGACGTATTAATGGCTTAACTCCAGAAGAGATTCGTGCACTTTCTAAAGAGGAACTTCAGATGCCGGTTACCAAGGGGGACTTTGAGCTGGCTCTGAAGAAAATCTCCAAATCTGTTTCTGCTGCAGACCTGGAGAAGTATGAGAAATGGATGGCAGAATTTGGATCTGCTTAATCTCAGTGACAGCTTTCCTTCGCTGGAGTTTTATGGTTTTTGTTTTTCTCACTTGAAAAATGAATTAGAAATCTTTTTAAAGGTTTAATAAAAGGTCTGCCTCTGCCCTCATCCCACCCCTTTCTGGCAACAGGATCTTTTAAGCTATTTGCCTTTAAAGGGAATGGATACAATAATGAGCTGATATTTTAAAAGGTATTTTATTTCTGAAATAGAAAAATAAGACAATCAGGAAGGGAAAAATCATATTTCTGATTTTTATTTTTCAAATGAAGAGCAGTGTTACTTAACTTCCTCCTAGTCATTTTTCATGGCTGGAGTCCCTAAATCAGCTGGGGCATGTGATTCCAGAGGAACAGACAAGGGCTCACTGTATCCCCTGCTCTTAAGTGCTGCTTCTGCCTCCCTTGAATGCGGCATCCAAGTTACTATTCTTCCTCTTGGATATTCAGAGCAAAGCCTGTGGATTAATTGGCATTACACAGAGGAAATGAGGATCAGTTTTCCACCAAGACATGGGCCTAACTCTCCTCTCATGTACACCCATTTGGAATTGATGTCGCTTCCAACCGTTATCAGTGTTACCTGCAATGACTTCTGATAGAAATGAGAGGGAAAGAAAAAGGCATGGATTGTTCTCAGTCCGGTTTGTGCTTGTTCTCTGAACATAGTTTGAACCTGTTTGACCAGTAGGCACTTTGACTTAGGTTATAACTTGCACTTTTATGCTTATATATCATCCTGTGCTTTACCTGTGCTATCTAAATGTGATTGTAATTACTATTATTATTATTTTAGTACTAAGAGTTTAATACAGTAAAGACACTAATATCAAGGCTGTATTTAAAACACAAGACTGTCCTTAAAGTGGCTGTGAACTTCAACTTCTTATTAGATATGAACTTTTTCCTAGCATTACTAGGCAATGGGAATATGTACCTGTTTATGTTGTACAACTCTTCATGCTTAATTTTTTTTTAATGAAGATTCCTTAAAAGTGTGTGAATATTAYTGGTTTAGTAATATTTAGAAAATAATCTGTATGGTCTCATTTATATTCTTAACTGTTTCTTCCCTCATACAAGTGCAGTGATGAAAAGGGTTGAGTTCTAAACTCTTAACATGACAAGTTCTCTCTAGAGTATACCTGTCACACTGACTCTGTGAGCTTTTCACAGACCCAGGCTGCGAGTCTGACATGTGAAGATTTCCTGTGGTAGGAATGTGAAGGAGTGGTCAAGTGACCAGATTTACAGAGCAATATGCACGCTTTCAAGTTTTTGGTGGTTTTGTGAGCCAGGCCTTAAGTACCTTGGTGGATGTGAATGGCCGTGCAGCTTGGGAGGTATTCAACCTTTCAGCTCTCTGCTGAAACTCCTAGTGGCATAGACAGATGTGATAGAACTGGAGTAAGAAACACACAGCACCTCCTCTTGAATGGGAATATATCCATATTTGCTCCTTTTTTATTAGTTCTCGGAAGGTTCCAAGAGCCTTCCAAGTGTCCTCAGTAGTTGAGGACAATGGTCTCTTGGGCCATGACATGTTAACCACTAAGGCAAAAAACTTAAATCACATATTTATTTTGCCCAGGGCAAAATGGTGGTAGAATTGCCTTCCTTGATAGTAAAAAATGTGTAGATGTGGCAGTTGGGGATGTGGCTTAACAGTGAACATGTCAGTGCTGGGTTAATGGTCTGATGTGATGATCTTAGAGGTCYTTTCCAACCTTAATGATTCTATTACTCCTCCCAGGAAATAACTGGACCTTTGTAGAGAAAAAGCTTTGAAAACATTGCTGTGGTCTGTTATTTGTTCCTYATTGAAGCTGTAGGCCACAGCTGTGTGTTTATTTGTTTTACAGCGGTAGAAATTAGTAAAGCTACACTAATCTTTTGTGGTCTGTGTCAGATTAACACTTCAGGGTCTCTCACTAAAAGAGGCCATTGCTGCCCGAGGAGCTGAGCCTACACAACTGAGAAGTAGAAGGGAATAGACATGAATGCCAGTAACAATCCTACTCAGCTGGCCAAGAGTGGTGCGGGGATTCAGCAGTGGCTGCTTAGTAGGGTCTAAGTACCAGTTTGCTTCACACTGCAAGCAGCAGTGACCTTCCTACTGATGAAAGCACAGCACTTGGTGAAAATGCCAGTCCTTAGCTCTTTGATGAACCTTCTACCTTAAGACATTAAACTTTTGTCTTGGCTGTTAAGCAAAACTCACTGTACTGGGCATTCCCTTTATTAGGAATTATTCAGGTGCTACAGTCTTTTTCTCTAGAGTTCACTGTTTCTGCCCCAGAAATGTTTTTACTGTACAGGTCCATTCATCTTTTACAGCTGCAGAACAGAAAAGTGGTGGTTTTCAGGCAGTAAATGTTTATGATGGCTGTGCCCCAGGATTAGTGCCATGACTTGGGCCCCTTACTATATCAGGCTAGTGGGCTTGGAGACTGAGTTATTAACTCCAGGGCAGCCAGCATTGGATGTAGCAAGGAGCAACCGAGGAGGGAAGAGCAGTCAACAGTGGCAGAAGCCCAAGGCTCAAAGGATGAGCTGACGGCTCAAAGTAAGACCAGTTCACATCCCACTGGTGGGAACCCTTGTGTAAGAATACTGGATTCCTTGGAGAGCAATGTACAAGCATGTCACAGATACTGCGGCAACATGTTCAGTCTGCTCCTGTTTGTGTACAGAGATCTGCACGTGTGGGGATACACGCACACTATAGGTGGTGCTTCAGTAGTTGTACCTAGATTACATAAAAAAACATGTTTTAAAGCCATGTTTACATGTTTTCTAAACATCTGTGAAGGTCCTCTTGGGTGGCACTGTTAATTTTTGTACAATTCCCGGTCTGGTTGTATGAAGTAATAAATGTGCATGTAGAGTCTGTCCGTCTTGCTTGAGTGGGGCTGTGAGTGCTTTGCTGTTAACTGCTTCCAGTGGCTGCCATACAATGCAGATCTCTTCAGCATGACATGGTGCTTTTGGACTCACCAAAGTCCTCGATGGAGAGCAGTTAAAGCAGAGTCTGGGTTTTTTTTGATAAAGCTGTCAGCAATGCTTTCTCCGTAAATTGGCCTTTTGTTGCCACAAGCTATAAAATGGAGAACACTCCAATGCCCAGCACATGAAAGGAGGGTGGGGAAGAGGAGAGTGGAGCTCCGAGCAGATGTTCAGTGTTAGCAGATGTTCAGTGTTAGCACCTGATTCAGACTTCACAGAGCGGGGCTGCCTTTTTTATCACTTGCCTCTGGGCTGGAAGAATAATCAGGCTCCAGAGAAGCTGTATCATCAGCTGCCTGCTAACCAGGAGACTTTCAAGACCAAAACTTCCATTAGGAAGGAGATTCAAACTTGGGAAGAGACCCCACATTTCCTGGGACTGAGTTGATTATTTGAATTTTCTTACTAACTTCCTTATGAAAGAAAGGAGTTTCCAGTGTTTCATAATGCCTCAAACATGAAAGAGCAAGCAAGGGAAATGCTGATCAGGGGATTTCAGGAGAGGTCAAATCTTTGCATAGAAAGTTCAGCTCACCTGGTTTAAAAGAGACTGAAATAGCAAAGRTGCACTGACTTTGATCAGGTGCACTGACTTTGTTCTGATCATGGGAAAGATGATCATGAAAGAGCTTGTGAGTTCTAAAGAAGTCCTCCATCAAATGGGCAAAGACTTCATGGTACAATCCAGGCAAGAGGAGGTGGAAACAGAAGAACAAATAGTGACTTTTTTTTGGTCTGTTATTGGAAGCCACCCTGAATCAGATTGTGAATTSAGATATTATTTTCAGAGCTGTAGTGAAAGATAAGTACATGATGAACATGCAGGTGACACTGTGTTGCCAGGGAGCAGGCAGGGAGCCTGGGAGTGCCAGAGTTATGCCCTGAGGTGAAGTGTGTGTCAGCGTCACGGCCGCAGCCAAGCCCCCCTGTGCAAGCTGCCCACCAAGCAGCACTATGATGCAGAGTGGAGCTAAGATAGACAGGAATAATCCCAGTGCTCTGATGGAATAAAGCACACAGCTGGTGATAGCAAAGGCAGGGAGATGGTACAGCTCAGAGAATGTCTCACATGGTATTTCYCTGCTAACGTTAAAAGGTTTCACTGGAGCGCTGTGCAAAAGTTTGGCCATTTCTGTGGGTGCCTCAGTGACTTGTGTTCACAGCCCAGATGCCACACGAGCCATAGCCAACAGCTGCAGCAGCAGGTGGTGTTTCTGCATCCCACTGCACAGGGACGTTTGGCCCTCTCTGCCTTCTGAGCCTGCCTGGTTTGTGTGCTGGTTGTGACCAGTACTTGTGACCCACTTACTGCATACAGGGTGGTTCAGTACCTCTAGCAGAGGAGTTTCTTTTGTGCAATACAGAACTGTCTTTTGATCAGCTGGAGTGTCATKCTTCTGCACATGTCTGCACATAGGTGTCTTGGAAACATTCAGGCAGTTTTCCTCTTCTAAAARGATCCCAACTAGGATTAAAAGCAGATGGGATGAAATGTTTTGGCTAGCCTGGTTGCCCTATGCAAGAAAACTTACCTCAGCAGTCGAGGARGTGCCACAAGACAAGTTCTGGCTTTGTTATGAAGTGACAAAGTGTGRGGTTGTTCCCATTCCTACTGCACAGGCAGAGTTAAGGTTGTATTGTGTCCAAGCTCTGTTTTCTGCCTTTTGTGTATTTGTGATTTCTTTGTTGCAATAGGAACATTTTTCTCAGAGTTAGGGGGAAACCATGGGGCATTTGTTCAGTGTCTGAGTCAGGATTTTGGAGGTCCCGTGGTCTGGATGTTACATGAAGCTGCTGAGCCCATTCCCAGCATGCTTACTTTTGGAGAAGCTCATCATGCATCCTGCCTGGCTGGCTGCACAGAAAGCACTCTAGCTTTGTGCAAACTCAAATATAATATTTAGAATATTTGTTTGGCAAAGAGAGAAATTTTTACTGCCAGTTTGCAACTGTATTGCTCTCATTTGTAAGCAGCCCCTTACATACAGCATATGTTGTTTAACTGAGGTGAAAGAAAATGTCTTGAAATTAAGAGTTTTTTGAACTTGACCCTGGAGAGCAAGAAAGGTAGAAAAATATTTGCCTAGAGGAAGATACAAGAGTACTCAAGACACTGAGAGTTGCAATTTCTTACTTTTGTGGCTTTCGTTTTTGTCTAGCAGTTGCACTGCTGGACTGTGCTTTCTGTTTCCAATTTGTTTTGAAATAATTACCATTGTTTACCCATCTCTCAGACAGCCTTTGCAGATGATTCAGTTCCACAGAGCCCTCTTCTGCTTAGTGGTTGCTGTTCTGGCACAGCGTGTTGTGCGACATCTGACTGAACGGGCTGATGGCATGAGATGTTCCTTGTGAAGGAAAGGTCACCCAAATGGTGAAGGTGAGAGGAGCTGCTCCAAATGCCAATTGGGCTGGAGGGAACAGAAACCATAGCAACTCTGCACAGCGTTTATAGACACAACCAAAAAGAAAAAGTGAATAGCCTCAAGGAGATGCTGACAACACCACAATATGCATATTGGTAAAAATGTGGGTCTTTACATCTTCACCAGTGAGGAGAATGGATGTAAGAGGGTGGAAGTGGYTGAAAGGAAGCCAATTGCAGAATTGCAGGCACTACCAGCAGGTCTYACCACCCAGCCTTGCTGCTTTAAAACATGACAGTGTCCAGGGGCCAGTTTGTTACTGCTGCTGCAAAAGCTGCSTTCTAGATAATCAAATTTGACTTCCTAAAAGCTTGCTGCTCRTTCTGAAATGTCTTCAAACTTTGGCGTGTGGTGGGACTGGAGTTGTGTTTGGAGGGCTAGAAGAATAAGGAAATGTTAATAGTGGTGTCTTCCTGTAGTTGTTGTCCTTAGTACCATTTGGGTGTGCAAGAAGGGATGTTCCAGATGCTCATGGGAAGTTGAGATGGTAGAAGGATGGGGATGGAGGTGGAAGGTCCTGGAATCAGTGGAGGAGCCAAACTGTCCCTCTGGCTCCCAGTTCCCAATCCTAAAACASACAGTAGTATTTTTCAGTTGCTTTTGGTTTGCAGCCCCATAGCATTTGTACTGAGGCTGAAGATCCCTGTRTTGTGAATTACATAGAGCAAGTTTCTTTTTCTAAAATACCTTCTGCAGACCCTTAATAAGTGCTCCTGTGGGCTACATATGATAGTTCAAAAAGCATTGGCCCATGTCATCCTAAACTTGCCTGAATTTCTTATGGAAGGAAGTCTGTAATGGATGCTGTTGGTTTTATTTTCTACTAGTTAGTTTGCTCAGAAGGATGAAGCTCAGTGAATGTGAGGTGCTTCTGGGGAGTTTATTTACAGTGTGTTTTTTGCTGTGCAGATTAGCATTTCGTCAGCATATGGCACAGCCATTTAAAATAAATATTTGGCTTTCCTTAAATTATGCTTGTGTAGAAAGGTCCCTGAGTGTGCATATCTATCCCTCTGTTGTATCTAATTAGACATTTCTACCATGGTGCTGAGGGACCAGACTCCTTCCCTCTCGCAGATGAGCCAAGAGCTGTGGTGCCTGTGCTCCTCCCCTGCCTGAGGGATCCACGTGCCCCAGCTCAGGGGGAACGAGGCAAACAATCCCTGGGGACTGCCAGCCACACACCGGTGGCACTGCCAGGTCAGCCTTCTCTCCAGACCCWGGGAATTCAGATTTATTTACACTGGGAACTGGCCAGCTTAGACAAATGCTTGACACCCCGTCCAGGCTCCCCTCCTTCACCTGCTAGGGCAGCTGTGCTTTTGCAAAACAAAACCCTGAGTGAAACCTGGGGGAGCAGATGCCAGCAGAAGGCTGAGGAGAGGCTTGCAGAGGAGCTCAAGTTGTGTTGGGGTAGGATGGAATGCTGGGCTGCAGCCCTGGTTGTCTACTTAGTCCAGGCAGTGATGAGGAGAGGGAGCCTTATTCCCTCAGGTGTTCAATATAGATGTGGATGAGAGAAGAGAGGAAACTTATTTTAAAAGAAAGGAACAACTGACAAACTAATCAGGTTTAAGACYGAGTGGAGCCTGTAACCCAGGAGACCTTTTCCATCTCTATGGCGTATCCAGATGTTTTGTTTTCTCACAGATGATTTGGAACTTGTTTACAGTCTAAGTTCTCACTTGATTTGTATCCATCTGATCTTGTGCTGATAAGGCTAACAAATATTTCTTACTTCTTGATATTTRCCATACATCTCTGAATGCATTTATAGAAGATATTTATATATCACCATATAAAGCAAACCTCGTGTTTGTTGTACTGTATACGCTTCTTCAGGCTCTTGTGTAAGCTGGATCCCCCTCAGTGCCCTTTCTTTCCCACTGAGCCTGTTGTTTATTTAACACAGGTCACCAGGAGCATACATGGTGGGTCCATAAGCCACATACAGCAAGTCAGCCAGTCAGGCAARGAAAAAATAAATTGCCCTCATGTTACATTCCTGTAATCAAACAAACAAACCAAGTATTTGGGTTTGCGATCCTCAGGAGGGCAGAARATTTTGGCATGTGGTTATTGCACAGCAAACAGGGCTCATTAGATAACTGAGATGTTCATGGGCAGTGGGATTCACAGGGAAGTGGTGGAAAATGYAGGAGCTCTCCTGACAGCAGCGAGAGAAAAGATGTGGGTATTCTGTTTGCAGGGGATGCAGCTTCATGCAATCACACAGTTTCAGAGCCAGCATTTTTGTGGATGTTGGATGCTGCCCATAAAACAGGGAAGAAAAGATTTGGGACCAGCTAACCCGCTCCAGGGATAGTGTGACCGCTGGTAACCAGGGATGAATGTGAGTGTGGAGGGACAGGATGGATAGCAGCTGTCTTCTGCCAGTCTCTCTGCCTCTGAGTTTCTCTTGGAGCCTGGGAACTCACACTCAAGATCCCCACTGCCCCACTGC